GAGGGTTGTTCAATGAGTAGAGATATTTTAAAACCATGTAAAACGATACGGGGCACCCTAAAAAACGATACTCCATAACGATACCTCCCAGACTTGCAAAACGATACGGGGCACCCTAAATGATTTCCACCATTACCACAGACAAGTAATTTTGACGCCAGCTCACATGGAAAAGAAAAAGGACAATGACATGGAAGCTGTGGATATCTGAAGTTTTGGGTGAGGTCCCATGATGAATGGAGGAAATCTTGCACCACCACGCTGAGTAGTTACAGTACCAGTAACGGGTAATACTACTAGTAAAGCAGTAGTAACCACCCGTAAACCTAAACCCCAAACCCATAATTAGTATTGGCAATATTGGTCGGGGTTCTTTAACAGCAAGGCTATACCACTATGACAGGGTGGTGAGTCCTCCTAATATATTCCCTTATTCTCTACTGAGAACCTGTAAGTATAGGTGGAAATCAGGGGCTTCAAATCTGCCGAGCCACAGGCTCGGGATTTGGATTTTAGTTGTTGGTAGCATTGCTACGCCTGATACAAAACCAAAGTAGTTACCATGATATCACTAGTATTGTATAAGCCCCATTCAAGCCCAGTTTCCACTTCACTTCTCGTTTGTACTAGCTGATTCTCGATTCTTGGTGTTTGGCCCCTCAGAGTATGGAAGCACAGCGCCTGAGCGCTCCCGCTGAGGAATAAAAAGTGGCGGCTGATGCTGGGCTCCTGCGAGAAGAAGTCGTTCCGACATGTTTTCAACCCATGGACGGAAGCTACCTCAGCGTTCTAGGTTTGCAGCTTCCTAGTGTTGATGTTGCAGCAGACTTGGTGTACAGTGCGCAAAGTAGAATTTTCTTTAGACCCTTTTGAGTTCGGATCGCCTCCCGCTAAGACGAGCACATGCTGAAGTTGGCGGGCCACACTTCGCAGAGTCTTTAGTAAGAGGGCTGCAGACTCCCGTGCCGCGTGCAAACCTGTACAGTCGCTCCAGAGGGTGGCAAATGATCGCATTAACAGTTCCAGGAAGCAAGCTGAAGGTGTGTTGGCTATTCTGCTCACGAGCCATCACGTCAACTGTCATGTATGCCTCAAGGCCAAGATGCATTTCGTTTTGTAGGGGCATCCCTTTCTGTGAGTTGTTGGGCTTCCTCAGAATCCCCCCAAATTCAGTGTTTCCTGGTCGCGTTTATCAGTAGTCTGTAGGCTTTCAAAAGTCTTCAGGGGGTTGCTGGAATTGGGGGATTCTTTAGGAGGGACCGGTTTCACTCTTACGGGGGAGCTGGGAGATGGGAGCCTCATCATCATGACTGCAGAAAAAGAACCCAAAGGAAAGAAAAATGCAATCTGTGATCTTCTATAGATTTCTTAGGCTTAGTGTTTTGTAGTAGGTTGTGAAGATTTGCAAAATTATCCCCATAAATGCCCTAACAACACCTATAATTACATCCCTTGAGGGTCCCCAGAAGCCTCCATTTGAGAGACCGTCAGAAGTGGAAAGCGGCAAAGTTGCAATAAGCTCCTTCTAGCGGCTGATCTGTATGGGAACCTGCATCAGTGCAGGTAGTGTTGTTTCAAACCCCAATTTCGTGAGAATATGGACTACCCGAGCCCCGTGTTCCCTTTCTTCAGGAACCCAAACCACTGCACAGTAAATCCAATACATACCCCATTATAATATGGTAGTTTCCATTTTCTTCTCCATTATTCCCTATAGCACCCCGGAGAGCCAAATCCAAAGCCCAACTAAGTCCTAGACCCCTAAACCCTAATCCCTAAACCCTAAACCCCTACACCCTAAACCCTGATCCTAGACCCCTTGCTTCTGGCTCATAGCAGGATGCACTTCGACGTCTTCCAGGAAGCCGGAGTTTAGCCTCATAGCAAGGAGTTCACGAACATTTTCCATCTAGCGGTGTATTATAGTATAATATAGTATATTATAGTGCAATATAGAATATTATAGTAGATTATATGCGGGATCTTAAACTAGAGGCCCATAATGTTGTCCCTGGTTTCAGCCTTGGACGGGAGTATCTCAATTTTTTGGGGGGGTCGCTCCTGTAGGACGCTCGCAAAAGCATCCTAGTACTTCTTCTAGACAGGGTAACAGGACCCCTTTCCAGAATTTGTCTGACGCTTATTTCAGGGGCAAGCGGGTCCAGGTTTGGCTTTGCTCTCAGCTAGCTTTTGATTGCCCGTCCATGCACACATACTACTGTACATAATTATGCATATCCATGTCATGTACATGGTGCCATGGCACCAACCTCGGCTGAAAGTTCGCTCAGACAAATTATTCCTTCCCACCAACACTCGCCATGTCAGATCGTGTAGGCCTGAGAGCTCAATGTAAACTGCGCGCGGAGCCAGTTGTCTCAGCAGAGCATAGATTTGGACCTCGCCCCACGGAAGTGCGCCCCAAGTTCTCCTCCACTTAACTGCATTAGCCGGCATGACTGCGCGCGAAACCCACGCCGCAAGGGAACCCAAGATTGCCGAGTCGTTCCACTTGAGAGCCCTCTAAGTGGCACGAAGCTTGGGCGTACGTGCACGCTCGCTCTGCAGCAGTGAAATGATTCCTTCTTGTTGTGTTCTTTGAGTGAATGAAGTGGTCCAGTTCATTTCTGGAGCCTCGTAACAAGAACAGAAAGCCCGGAATGAAAATCCCAAGTCCTGAAGGTATGACGGAGATCCTTCTCCTTCTTTAGCTGTACTGGGACAACGCCAACATTCTAGCCAGTGACTATCAGTTCAAGAACCCCACGTGCTGCCATCGTCAGGCGGACAACCTCGAAGGCGCAGCGGATGTCAACCTGCGGATTAGTGCCCACATGGTACTTTCATGTGGTTTTCATGAATAGAGCTGCCCTAATAAAAACACCCAACAATATTCGTTCCTTTTGGCGAGGACCTCAAAAAGAATACCGCTGATCTTGGGGAACCCCCATATCATCGCAGGCAAGCACAATCTTCAAGGTTTTTCTGGAACTAAGGCCAAGGTCCTTGAACTGCCCCTTTTGCCGGAGCCCGGTCATCCAGTATGGGTCGGGTGGGGTTTAGATAGGGAACCCTGCTTTTGGGAAAGTATCAAAAGGAGCAGGATCTCGGGCCCAGAACCATGCGTCTCAAAGGGGATTTATTTAACTTAATTCGTTACGATTCGGATCCCGAAAGTGGCCTTCCTATCATAATACAGGTCCCTACACAGTTTTCTGCCGGAACAGTAATTTAGGCCGAGCCCCATCTTATGTGCCATATCCTGAACCTGAAATCAGGGACCGTGAGCCCTCAGCGCAAGCCAACAGGTGACATTATGCTCAGCATCAACAACTCGTCCAAGAGACAGCTTCCAGATTTCGGTACTGGCCAGGTACCAAGACGCCTCAGGGTTTAGGGTTTAAGAGATTAAAAGATTAAGGGTTTGGGGCTCGTCCCAAGGGTCCTGGTGGTTCAAAGGTACTAGTTGCGAGTTGTGCGAGGCTTCTAGTTAGCAGCTTAAAGTCCTAAACTTATGGCGCAGTTGATTGTCGTGGTGATTTTGGGTCTGTAGGTCTTGAGGTTAAGGTTGTGCCAGCATTCGTGAATGAAGGCCAAAGCCTGTACTTTATCTCCAACCCTCACATGCAGATTTTCGACCACTATTCAGCACCTCCAATTTTTGTCCACTTCTCCCCTCTCAACCAAGACACCTAGTGGTCCCCCTTCCAAGGCTGAGAACCTGATTGCTCAATTCAAGTTTCACCTGAGCTATTGTCAACTATTAGGGTTACCAGGGGACCATTCAGGGTGGACGTAGGGGTCCTTTTGGTAGTTGAGTATAGTAGCCCCTAAAAGATTCCCGTATGCAGACCCATGTCAGCTAGTCATATCGTAGTTTCCATAGATAGAGGAACCCTAATATAGACCTCCAAAGACTACAATCCTTGTTATAGGGACCTCCAGAAAAGTTCCTTTAACTTCAGGAAACCCGAAGCCCTAAACCCCAACCTTAAAACCCTAAACCCTGAACCCATAAGCCCAGAATAAATAAATATTGTTTAGGACCTACAAACAGACGCCAAAACTCCGCACATGAACCCTATACAATTTCTATCAACCTTAAACCTTGAGTTTGGCCCCCACCCACTAATAGTGGTATATTAGGAATGTATAGAGGCCTTAAAATAATCACCATTATTTCTTGTCATCACTATTACTGGGTGGGGGCCTAACCTAACTTAAACCTCATACCCTAAATATTGTTGATGGAGGAACTCTTGTACTACCTAGGGGTCCCAAACTCCTGTGATTCCAAGGACTTTAGGGACTTAAGGTGGTGCAAGATTCCATCCATCAACAGTAGTAGTTCGGTAGCTCCCCTCAGGCAGGTGCCAGAGTGTCCTTACCAACGCCGGCCCCACGCTGCTGCTACCTGCAAAGGGCGGCATCGAGGCTGTGTCTCAGGGGGAGGGTTTAGGGTTTAGGGTTTAGGGGTTTGGGTTTTTGGGGTTTAGGGTTTTAGGGGTTTAGGGTTTTAGGGATTTAGGGGTTTAGGGTTTAAGGTGTAGGGGTTTAGGGTTTAAGGATGAAACAGAGTTCACGATTATGTCGACATAATATAGGGTTTTGGGTACATTTCCACAACAGTGGAAATTCAAATGGAAAACGTGGAAAATGAAATGGAAACTGCAGGACTATGTGCAGTGGGTATGAGGTTTTTGAAGGAGGTTTCAGATGGGCGGCAACTCTGCTTGTCTCTATTTGTCCTCGGGTACAGCCCTGATAGTCCCATTTTTCCACGGCCTTCAGGACGAGTCGTGCGTAGAATGGAATTGAGGGCTAGCAGCACTAGCTTCTTTCAGACAGGAGCATCTGAACAGTGGTGGGAGCTTCAGCCCCAAGGGACAAGAAAAAAGGATGCCTGGACTTTGTAGGGTTTACGGTTGGGTTTAGGGCTTTTGTCGGATGTACATTTCAATTTGGCGAAGAGCAGTGAGCAGCTTCTACACCCCTAAAGGTAGGCTTCAGGCGTTTTTTAGTTTGGGTTTATGTTGGGGCCTGACCCAGGGCGACGAAAGGATGCTCAGCTTGTATGGGTACGTTAGGAGTATTGCTAGTATTCTTGTTATTATTACTGTTAACTGAAAACACTGCTTCATTTCTATTGCCTGTCATTGCTAATGTACTACTATTCTTAACTAGTATTCCTAGTACATTACGGTTATTATCTGATAACTATTATGTTGCTATTCGTATAAATATAAGATTCGTATTATATGACTATTTGTTGACTATTTGGCATCCTTTGCCAAAGCCAGCGTGGCTTGCTGGCCCGCGGACTTAGCACGGTTAAGGAGCTTAAATTAAATTACCATAACATGCGTTTCAAAAGTCCCTCAACAGCAACCCTGAACATTGGTGCAGGTCTACTTGGACAACTCAGTGTTCAGGCGCGTCTGATTGCCGGCCTAGTGCTCACAACTGTTAGGCAGTATGCAAGGTGGGATCAGTAGTTGTAGCAGCCGTAGTAGCAACTGTTTCTGGGCGACAGGTGTAGCAGTCGTAACATTCGAGGCAGCAGCAGGTTCAGCAGCAGATGCATCTCAGCCAGTGCAGACGCCCACATGCCTAGAATTCATCCAGCTATTGATACTCAGCGGCTACTGAAATCAGAAGCCCCTTTTATCATCCAAGCGCCATGCGTTGGCAGCACGAAGCAATCCTACGCCGATCCCGAAACGGTCAAACCCCTGACCCTAAACCCCGCTCCTATGTCCCGAGGAGTGCGAAGTGCTATTCGACTTCTTCACAGCAAAAGGCGCTTCTGGGTGAGGGGCAGAGGTTTTTGAAGCAAGTAGTCTAGGACCCCTAAGCCCTAAACTTGAAGCCCCCAGGAACCTGAAGACTTCTTAGGCCACGCCTTTTGTGGCACATAGATCAGCCCATGATAGGGTGGCAAGCAGGGAGGAGTTTCTCTTTCCCTGGGATTTAGGGTTTAGGGGTTTAGGGTTCACAAGTTGAGGGTTTAGGGTGGATGCCTGCAAAACAGAAGGCCGTTTAGCTTAGGGAAGGGTACCCTTGTACAAGCCACAGTTTTCCAGAAGCACACCCCTGACTTGGTTTGGGCTATCTCTGACAAAACAACTTCAAGAAGCTCAAGCCGTATTTGATCCAACAATACATGAAAGCCAAAAGGGGGCTATCATGTTGACAAGCCCTCGCTGGAGTTCTGCAAACTCTGCCATCCCAGACGCTCAGTTTCAGTCTTTGGTAAAAAAGAAGTCCGATGCAAGATGGGATGTGAGTGGGTCTTGTCCAGGTTTATGCTGACTCTCTTGAGGGAAACAGTTTGAAACCACAAATTCTGAGCTCAGGAAACAGTAGTTAGCCACGCTGGGACCTTCAGGACAATTTTGACCTACCATCGCTTGGCAGCAAGAAACATGGGAACCCCAGAAGCAATGGAAACAATGGTCTTCACGGTAGATGCCGCGAAGGTGCTCGTTGTTTTTTGGCCCTTTAAAGACCAAAGTCCGTTGACAAGGGATCTGCGGGGCTCCATCTTTGGCCAGGAAGGATGGCTTCAGGGTTTGGGCAAGCCAACATGGCTTGGTTAACCCCCCCCTAAGCCCTAAAGCCTAAACCCGAAACCCCGACATCAACCAACCAGAGCTTAAAGCCCATGTCGTCCTGAACTACCCCAAAAAGCAACTCCTCGTCCTAGAGGCCCAAAGGGATACCCTAAACCCTAAAGTGTTTCCAGCGGCTCCAAGATCGCATTTTGCTAGATCTTACCTGTAATCTTCCTAGAAACTATTCCCAATTTCTTTATAGTACAACCCTAAGGAATTAGAATCGCTATCGTATAACCCTAGGAAATTATGAACCATTGATTTTTATGATAAGTCTAGGGGGATTACACTGATAGATTCAGCCCGAAGTTTAGGAAGCCTACCTGCCTTTGATGGGTTGCTGTTGAAGCACTTAAACTAAGTACGTTGCCATAATAGGGGTATGTACGAAATAGTAGGGCTTCCTTGTTAAAATAGCCTAAACAGTAGGGCTTCCTTGTTATAGTCTAAACCCTACAAACCCTGAATACCCTAAACTCCACATACCTTATATACGCGTACTGTAGTAACTTGCCTTAAGTTCCTTAACAGCAACCCAGCGCGGGGTCCTCAGAAGAGGCTGCGGAATCACTTCGGAGCTACTTGCCGAAGCTGGGCTCTGAGGGGCACTAGGTAGGTCTTCCCTTTTTCGGTCAGCTTCAAGGGGAGGTTTAGGGTTTAGGGTTATAATTTGAATTATAGTATTTTGGGTTCACATTAGGGTCCTCCTATGTAGGGAAACGACCGTACAGCTTCATTTGAGCTATAGTCGAAGCTCCTTAAACGGGGTTAGATAGGGGACCATTTTTGGTGTTAGTGAGGGGGAGTTATAATCTAAACTTCTTATAACGGGTATACTAGGAGTGTAGACTATAGCTAATATACACTGGTCCTTATGGGGCCCCCTATGTAGGAGTAACATACCAAGGTTTCACAGGGCATGCAAACTTGGGACGGAATTTGATTGGGGGTTTCAAGCGATGCGAGTTCGTATCTTTCAGGCCCAGGGAGAGATACATGCTGCGCAAAGTAGGCTAGGGCGGCTCCATGTCATGGACGCTAGAAAGCTGCTGGCGTCTTTCTCAACATACATCTTTACGGCTTCTTTCAAACATTCCCGATTAGGACGGCATCACATCTAGGGCCTCCTTCAGCTGCAAGCCAAAGGATTATCGCGGAGAGAGGTGTAGTTCGGTCTTCTTGTGGCATCCACCCGTCGTCTTCTCTCTACACAAACACACAAGAGCTTCGTGACCTTGTACCGGCTGCCAAGTCCCACAGTGGATGCTAAAAGTCATGCATAACCCTAAATACCTTGTATCTTGGGAATTATAGATTTCCATTCTGGTGGCCTCTGGTGTGCACAAAACCATACAGACTGCTTTAGGGAGCTGCAGTCGTCCTACACATTATCCGACCGAGCGACGGTTTTGTCAGGCTATTGTGGATGGAGGCAATCGATAGAGGGCAGGTGCACTGTCTTGGAATAAAAGTAATGATGAGATTCGGAAATGTAGAAATCATATTATCAGGAGTAATACTACCAAAATAGTGACCAAAAACAGGCGCAGTCCAGGCTCCTGAGGGGCAAGGCATGGTCCTTGCACGTAGCCTGATAGCCTCAAGACGGCTTTATGGGAAGCTGTGAAAGTCACTAATTACTGTTTTCCCCTGGGCCTGGGTGTTGATCCTTCAATGGCAGGAGCGCTTAACTTCAGCAGATCCATGAAACAGGACACCCAGGCGAGAGCTCCGGGTGTCGGATGTGCCTCACCTCCCTTTAAACAATCTTTGGGTCTCTGGGCGGGTCCTGGCGTCAACCCTAAGACCAGGGTTGTGGCTTTGCAGGAATTGGGCAAGATATGAGGGCAGACCGTCAAGCCCACACTGGGCAAGTGTACAGCATGTTCTCCGTGGCCATGGAACCTATCATCCTCGCTACTGTAGAAAGCATTGGCATTGGCATCGCTCAAGTTGGGATCAGGTGTGATTTCTTCAGTAAAGGTTCAGTGCAGATAGATTTCTTGCCAGGCCATCTCAAGCCAAGAAAAGGAGCCGTCAGGAAGATTGCCTTTTTACTGCATCTGTGAGTTGTGCCAAGACTCGGGCCAATAGGGCACCATTTTTTTGTCCTAAAGAGGGGCACCTACAATCCCCACACATCCCTAGGGTTCATGAAATGGTACCCTCATTGTGAGAAGCCCCACATTCTCGACAGAGCAGGCCGCTGCCATATGCACGGTAAGTGACCTGGTAGGCTCAAGAAATGCTGGGACATACTACAGCCTCTGCCGATTCACTTCTCTCGAAAAGCGTTGCAGGCAAGAACCTTTGAGAGGCCCAAGCCCCCAGAACCAAAGCCAACCAATCCCACAAGCAGACAGCATCCTGCGCGACGGAAGGCCCGCAACCCTGCAGCGCGGCGTACGACAATTTTCGCTGGGGTTTGCGTGGTAGGGTCTGAGACCACTTGGTCTTGAGGCGCTGCCTTCCATGGTGTCATGTTCTGTGCATCTGAAGGCCCAAACAAGTCCCTTAAGATGTTGTGATAACCTCCGAAGACCAAGTTTTCCGAGCGTTTCACATAAACGGCAGAGTGCGGTGCAACATGGATTCCTCATATTGTAGTCAGTGATCAAGGCCTAAGAGATGAAGGGAGGCATGTGCTAGCCTTGCATTTGACCAACCACGGGATGTAAACTTCGAGGCCATGCGACCGAGCGTTTCCTGGGCTTCCTTCTGTAGGGTTCTCTCAAACAGTGAGCATGGACTGCAGTAGAAGGGTACGTAGGGGCAGTCACGCACTAAGTATGGAACATACAGACCTGCATGGCCTTATATATCATATGGTTCACCGCAAAAACCATATCCTACCTATTCGTCCTGCAGCTAGGCTAGAGCGGTGTGGAGCTCAGGTGGATGCTTATCTAATATCTGAATATGCATAGAGGCCAGGCTCTTCGCAGCACTGCCTAGACCCTTCATGCCTGGTCGTTTTAAAAGGTTCTGGAAGCTGCTAGTATATCTTGGGTAGTTGGATAATATGTATAATATAGTTATATGTATATAGCCCTTTATGTGACCCTTAGTATAGACTGTTACAGGGTGGGGGCAGTACCCAAAGTATATGGTCTTTCTTCTCATCATGCAAGTGCAAGCAGGGCGGCTTCGAAGTGTAACTTTGCATGGGCAGCACTCAAAAGGAAGAGACGTGCTCATTCGACAAAGCCGGTGGAAATCAACTTCCATGCAACCAGAGACTTACAGTGGAGGTTTAAGCGATTTTTGTCTGCCTGTCTCCCAGGTGAGATCGTCTGTAAGCCAATTGGGCATCATGACATGATTGCACCTCACACTTCCTGATTTACGCAGCGAAGCTCTCTCTAGCACAGAGAAACGGCTTAAGATGCCTGATTTAAATCAGCGTAAATCATGGAAGCGTGTGCCCGCCCAAAGTCTTTGTCTTTTGGCACACTGCTCGGAGAGGGTAAGCAGCGACATTACCAGCCTGATGGCTCTGTGTACAGTTGCGCAGTGCTCCCTTGCAAGTGCCATCTCCCCCAGAAGCTGAAGATTGCAGTTTGGACATATGGAGATAATGGAAAATAACATGGAAACCTACTATACTGGATTGGGGTGATGTTATTGGGATACTGGAAAGTAAAATGGAAACTACTATACTATATTGGGTTGGCTTACTAGGAGAATGGAAAGAAAATGCAAGCTACTATACTGTATTGGGGGGTTATAGTAGAAAAGCAAGTACTCGGGTTCCTCAACCTCGCACCAAACTTCCCCTGAAACTCGACGATAGCTATTTGGTAGTCTCCCAAAATAGGGGGACCCCAAAACAGACCCTAATATACTATAGTCCTTATTATGGGGACCCCCAAAAAGGTACCCCTAATTTTGGGAAACCCCCATTTAAACTAGTAAATAAGAGCTCTCTTTTGAGCTTGCTGTGCCGACTCGCAAAACTGACATGCCTTTCAAGTGCATCGAAGTAGATTCCATCTCTTGTCATACAAGGCCTGGGACACTGCTCATAGGCGTTTTAAATCGGAGCTGGCTTAACGCTTGACGCGCGTACAGGCGGAAAAATCTGCAGCAGAGTGTCATAAATGAAGCTGATTCACTTGTTCCTCTAGGGTTGGATTTGAGGTTCCGTCGGGTCATGTAGCGTACGGCGTGCAGATGCTATCCACCAATTGGAAACCCCTAAACCCTTAAGCCCTAAGCCCCTAAACCCTATGAGGGGCAGGTCCAGGTAGATGCAACAACCCTTTCGGCGCGTTGTTTCTGATGGGGCTTAGGGTCCAAAGCAAGCTTTTTGGCAAGGTTACCATAATATAGGGTTGTAGGGGTAAAGGGTTTAGGGTTTAGGATTTAGGGTGTGGGGTGTAGGGCGCGAAGGGCATCACTGCCATCTGGTTGCTGCCTGAGGCAGTTTCCCGGTGATCTTCAGGGAATTAATCGGTATCATGCACATCATGTAATCACAGAGTCTCTCAGCAGTAGTCAGAAACACTGTCAACTTTTATGCATTGAACCCTAACCTCCAGCCGAAAATACCAAGCCTGAATAAGCTTTCCGAACCTTAGACTCAGAGCCCTTCTCCGGCTTGGCCTAAAGCCTACAAAGCCTACGTACGTGCTTCTTACTTTCAAGTCCTTGCCATGTTGGAGGAACTTGATGATGAGAATCTTCCCATGGCGCAAACCTGATGCGTTGTTTCTTTGAGTATTACAGAATCAAATGGAAAGGACATGCAAAGCGTTTGTTTCACGGCTTTACAGTATAAGTGGGCTCAATGATGAAACCTTTCAATACGATTCTTTACGATTGGGGTCCAGGAGCTGTAGAGCATTTGGGCTTTGGCTTTTGTGTGGGATCTCCTGGACAGAAGGTTTCGTGGGTCCAGGCGCGAAATGCGCGAAGATTACTAGCTCATCGGTCGGTGCCTTCTTGTATAGCAAGGATTGTGAGAGCAGTCTATATACGAATTGAGACAGGCGGCGTTGAAGCTGCAATGAAGACGCTTTTGATGAGGGGCGGGGGGGGGTTGGGTTTCAGGGTTTAGGGTTTACGGTAGTCTGGTTGTCTTAGCTGAGCAGCCCATGCAGAAAAACACTGGAAATGTTAAGCCCAATCAAGGGTCTGACTGAAAAATGGGAGTTCACCAAAATTAGGCGTACCATTTTGGGCTCCCCAGAACAAGGATTGTAGCATTTTACGGCCTATATGGGGGGTCCCCCAATTTATACAAACTGCTAAAACTGGTGTATTGAGTTTTTTGTAAATTTCCTCTTGGCCTGGCCTTGTTCTTACAACCCTGCAAGCGTATAATGACGACCAGTATCCTGACATCTAGTAGTATTGCGGCGCTGCATCAACACGTGTGCTCAAGTTCACCAGAGTTTTCCCAGCCTCCTAATGGAATTCAAAGGATATGTTTAATGGTTGCTTAGTTTGTACCTCAACCGTGTTGGCCTGAGCCTATATGCTATTCAAGCTTGCCAAAGAAGATGGTCTTGGTGAAAAGCCAGCGGCTACCTCCAATCGATGTCAAACCTGATTCTAGCTACTTAGGACTCAATATGGTAAGTAGTCAACGCACCAAATGAAACTTTGGCTCAAGCGTGCTTACCACCGCACCGTATTTTACATGCAAATGACAGGGACTGATGTTGCGGCTGCTCCCTTTCTTAATTCTCTCTTCTGCATCAGCATTTGAGGTGCTGGATGTTGGGGCGCCGCGTACAGGCACCCAGTCCATGCACAACGCTCTGAGGATACTGGGTTTCAAGACGCTCCACAGCGGCTATGATTCTGAAAAGCGAATTCCCTGGTGCGAGTATTTGTTCGCCAACGGCCCTCTGCAAGAGGCATTGGACACACTGGAGGGCTACGACGCTGCAATGGACGAGCCTTTCCAGTTGGTCTACGAGGAATCCAGGTGATTAAGTTTGTGGGGCCAGTCTCAGAATCATAGACTTTTTTCTCTATAGACTCTATAGTACATGTTGGGAGGTACATACAGGGAGCCCTTAACCAATGTACGGCGCGGCACCTACTTCCTTCCCGTACGTCAACAACAGCAAGTTCTTGCAACTTTCAGGCTCGGATTACAGATAGCAGCTTTACAACCTCAACAGTTTGTCGCGGATTGCTCCTGAAGTATAATCTCACCACTATATAGGGTTTATATTGGGATACTGGAAAATGAAATGAAAACAACGATAATGGTGTTAGATTGGGGTTATATAGGGATTAGGGTCTATATAAAGGTAATATTGGATATTGTATACACTGTCATAATCCTGCTTTTTTATTCTCTTTGAGGAGATCATGGAAGCTTTCCCCAAGGCAAAGTTTGTGTTGACCATTTCCGACCCAGAGCGTTGGCGGGCCAATTTGCAGCGTGTTTACTTTTTCTCGCCTGCTTTGTAAAGGACGCCTGTGTAGTTGGTTTTCTGTGAGGGACTACGATGCGATGAAGGTTGGTTCGAGAGCTATGTCAAGCTGATCGCAGGCATGTCTACGACTGATTGGCCACTTATTCGCAATTTGACAAGGCTCTAGATGTAGATGCAACCATAATGAAGCCAGGTGACACACGTGCTAAGCGCGGTCTTAGCAGTGTATCAGCAGTACTGCGGCTCCTGAGGTTACACGGCGTTCGTGGATTTGGACTCTTTTACGAAGAAAGAAAAGATCATCCGGAGACAAGACCGCATCGGAACGCTTTGTTGCGGCTGTTGTAATTTGAATCCGCGGTTTTTGCAACCACTCCTCAAGGGATAGTTTCTTTGGGCCTCGCAGTTCGAACTTGCGGGCATAGGGTAACAACCAAGCTCCCCTCTCAGTTGAGGAGATACGTTACTGCGCAGCCGCAACCTACTGGGGCTGTGAGTTTGCCAACTTCACTGAGGAATCCAAACGGCAATGCTTGGAGGCATACTTGGAAAGGATGTGCGACTTCATGATGTATATGAGCTGTAGTCTACACTCCTGTAAGGGGGCGTTAGATAGGGGGTTATATAGGGAATTAGTATAGTGGTGATTAAAGGCGATGCTAGGAGTTTAAACTATAGCTCATGTGGCCATCACTTTAGTGCCATGTTGCCATGGTGGAGGTGAGTTCTTAGTGCAGTCTGAACATTCCATCAGAGCGACACTGATCGGACAATTGTACCATGGAGTCAACAAAGCCTAAACGCCGCAAAATCCTGAAGTTATAGTCCCCCTTAAGTAGATACAACATAGGGTATATGGGGATCTAGTATTATATACCCAAAGCCAGATTCTATCTACTCAAGGGGGATTATGTCCAGAAGCTCATGCATGAGCAAGCAAACACGTACGTGGCTTGCTTAAGATAGCAGGCCAGGAACTTGTACCTAAACCCCAAAAGTATGTAGAATGGGTTAGTAATGGAAAAGAAAATGGAAGCTACTATAGTATTTAAGGGTTTAGGGTTTAGAACCCCAAAAGTATGTAGAATAATGGCCTTTTGGGCTATTTTAAGGGGTTTCGGGCCATTATTTTACCTACTTTTGGGGTCCAGGTAGTCTTGTATTTCAGTCCTTGCCAGCACTAGGCACGCGTATTGTTAGCTCCTTGTAGTAGTTTCTGCCCTATGTTCTTCTAAGATGCACCTGCAGAATCTCATTCCAAGACCTTTCTCAAAGCTACCCTAACCCATCAGCAAATAATATTAGCCACAACCCTATGGCATTGCCAAATGTGGATCTGGTATCCAAGCCAAAAAGGCAAGAAACACCGAAAGGCCCTGGTCTGCTCAAAGGTGGCAGAGTGGTTTTCTATAATCCTTCTACATCCCTATGTCACTGGGCCCCCTTTCTTGATAAAGACTGATGTGTGGGAGGCATACCAACATCACAATGAGCGAGTGCAGCAAGTGATCCCAGCAGATCGGCTTCTGGTGTTCCTTGGTTTGCGAAGTGGGGCCTCAAAAGGAATAGGTATCCCTTTTGGGGATGATTCTCACCTAGGGGTTGAGTCCTCATATCGGGATTCTAAAGCTTGAGGGGGTATACAAGGGGACGTAAATACCGATGTGCGGTTGTGGGTTGAGCTGGTTTGGGAGTTTGGGAGGCCTTGGTGGGAGCCCCGGGGCCAAGGGTTTAGTAGCTGGTACGCCAAACGAGCCCATGATGGAACAAGCCAAACACTGACGTTACTTCATCATCATAGTAATAACAGTAGAATAAAGTAATACTGATAGTAATGATAATTATAATAACATAGTAGCAGAGTTGTATAGTAATAGAGTAATATGGTAATATGGTAATATTCCACAGCAATACAGTTATACAGTAGTATAGTTGGCTGCCTGAGCTAGTATCTGGCTGCCTTGCTACGGCCAGCTTTGCCCTCCTGCGGTATGAAAAACACTGAAGCAGGCATGGTTGAATGCGTGCATGTGGTGATTCTGCGTTAAGCCCATGTGCACCTATTGTACAGCTCTACTTCCGACAGACAGGTTCAACTTTACAGCTGGCTGGGCGCCACTTGCCCACTTCCTTGGCAAGCCAATTCCGGATGAGCCTTTCCCACACGTAGACCTGGCGGGCTTAATCTTCGAGAGAAATCTGCCTGAATCGGCTCAACCTGTTTCATTTCTCCAGGAGTCCGTCCAGCTAAACACGGAGCTTTAAGGATGTGTCGCAAAAAAACCCGGCAAGAAAGAGCGCGCAATGCCCGTTTGCATGTTCTCGCTTGTTTTCGGCAACCATTCCTGCTGATTTGTCACAGTCTGCACAGAAACGTTGCTCTAATCGAACTGTTCACTTCTGGTTGCTGGCTTGATTGGTGTCCGCAGTGCAGCTGTCAGAGCATTAACCTTGGGCTCGGTTGCAGGCTCATGCAGGTTCCACTGTCTCTGTTGAAAAAAAGGTTATAAGCATGCGCAACATAGCCTGCTGTAAGGGTGTCATCCTCGTCGAAAACGGAAAGTCCAACTGGAGTCGACACCATCTCAATCACTGCTAGCCTCATGCTCCCCAGTGCTCTTCCCATCATTTGAATGAAGAACCCTTTGAAGGTTGCCCAGGAGCTTCATCACCAGGAGCATCGTCCTAGTTTCTCGACCATTGCTGCGTCGTCTACTATGGGATGTATGAAGCTGCCCCCAACGATTCACGAAAGCAATTAACACATCTGCCTCTGTACAGGAACATGCGTAATGGGAATCTCAGGGACATAGCAGGTAGCTCCAGCCAAGCCGTCATTGATCCCGAGCATTGATGAAGTATAACCGCCACAATACAGAAAGTGTGCTTGACCTTGGGGCCCTCAGATATCTTCTTCCCTTTGGTTAGCTTCTATCGGCCGGCCCCGCCACTCAAGCATCTTGAGTACCCAAAAGCATCCACAGCAAGAATAACCCACGTATTTACGCGATGTGATGCTCATGTCATGTCGTCTTTCTTTGCATGCTCCAAGTATACAATCCCCCTCTCGCCTTTAAGGAGTTGAGACTAAGCTGCAATGACTTGACGAAACTGTCAACGACGAATCCAGTTTGACGATGTCGGATGGCTCCACTGTGTGCAACTTCCTTGCCGACCTTTGGCTCAGAAAGAGGTGAGCTAGAGTCTAAACTCCTAAAAGGGGGTTATTCAGGGGATTATACAGTTATAGGGTTTTTTAAGAGGATACTACGAGTTTTGACTATAGCTCAGGTGGAACTGACCAAGCGGGTGCTGTGTCTTTGAGCTTTTGCATCAGCCGCTCGCGGCCATGCGGTCGCGGATAGTGTGCTCCCCAGTTCAAGTGATTCTGTCGAAGCGCTTGAAGGTCACCTCTCTGTTCCTGCGTGCCACAGATTACACTGGCCCACCCCGTTTCCCAGAACCAGCGTATCTTCGGCTTAGGGGTTTGAATAGCGTCGCGCAGTGGACAAGTCTAACCAAGCCATGGGCAAAACCGGATATGCTGCGCTCTGCAAATTTGTGCGACATGGCCTCAAAAGAAGGCCAAGCCAACCCCAACAGCTATGTTCATGACTGCGTGGGATCATGGCTGCAAACATGAAGTACTCCCAGCACATGCTCCAGAAAGATGCCGATGTTGCTGGCCAGATACAAGTGTCCCCTACCGGAAGTTTTGCCCTGGAAGTTGACACCTCTTCGTGTACGTGCAGCTGTAGAGCACCGAAACAGGTGTGCCCAACCCATTGAAAAACACTTGTCCGGACATTGGAGGTCTTTTAAAAGCTCTCAGGATGAGGGTAAATAGGGTGATGTAGGGATATATAGGGTTTAGGGTTGAGGATAGTTTGGTGAGCAGATTTCCCCAGCGTTTGCAGAAAGTTGGCAAAGTACTGACTTCAACCTCCATACCAATTTCAAGCATTCAAAAAGTATTCTTGGGGGCCAAAAGGGTTCCTATATAGATAAATTGTACTTGCATTCTCAAGCCGTTAGGGCTCTGTAGTGTCTGTTGATTGGGGATGTGCTCTGCGGGGTTTAGCTCTCCGCTAGTTTTTTCAGGCGTCATGTGCATGTACACAACAGCAAGGCGCTCATGTTATCCTATGTGCTCCCTTAAGAGGAGCCGCCTTGAAGATTTCGTTCCTGCGCTTTCCGCATACCGTGGTCCTGTATGATATTTTTTGGCCTAAGCCTTACAATGTCGTTTTTGGCTCTTGCAATCCGGCCCGCATCTTCGCATAAAGGGATGACGCAAAGGGGATCATCAACCGTGAGCTAGCTAGTGCCCAGCAAGGGAAGCGGGAATGGGTCCCTCTTTACCCGCCCCAACAGTCATCCTCATAGTCACGGTTAAGCACCCTGCTCGGAATTGCGAGAGCTCGAACCTCCACACCAGTCTAACAGCTCGGTCCAGGCTGACCTCGATTCCCTCTCTGATAATCCAAGTGCCCAAGCCAGCAGAAACTTAGGTCCCGAACTATCTATCTAGGAACCATCTCGGGCACACAGTAGATGTGGTTTGGCTGTGAAGCTCGACCCTCAGGGGCTCTCCAAAGACCCAGACATGTTCACTGCTGGCACGTCAGAATCGTGCAGAGCTTGAGCTGTCCCAACGCTCAGTGGTTGCTACTTTGGTCTTATGTCCGGCTGCTTTCAAATCACACCTGCACCTCTTCCCTGGCAAAAAAAGTACTTGCATGGAAGCGACCTCAGCGCCATCCATGCACGGAAGATTGCCAAGCAGTTCAGGCGACGACCCATCTGTCCCATGGACTCTTTCGACCCGCACCAGTGCACACAAAGCCGAGAGCCTTGCGCGAAGGGAGGTGAACCCGCATACTTTCCGGCACCTCTTTGTGATCCACCAGCCAACCATCTAAGGCGCTTCGAAGAAATGAGTAAAAGTCCAGTAAAGCGTAAGAGCGTTGCAATCGTTACCGCAGCCCATTTCCCGAGAGGCACACCTCGAATTGCTCTCCTGGTTTACTCGTGCTGTGCAAAGTGCACAGAAGGCCCTCCACCGCAAAGACTGCGATGGTGGTCGACAATTCTAAGCATGTGCCAATCGCAGCTTATCTTCACGTAGCGCCTGCAGAAGAAAAGTCTGTCCATCCTTCCACCAACCTACCGCACATCGCTGGCAGGGTGCAGGCTCAGCACAGGTCCTCATGAACTTCCTGGGTCACCATTAAATAAGTTTTTGTTTGGGGTACCTTGCTTCACGGAAGCGACCATCTGGTAGACGCTCTTGTCAGGTTTGTGGCTCTGGTGCCTGCCGCGATCTGCAGGGTTAAAAAGCGTCATAATTTTATGTCAAATAATGTGGGGATAGTTCTAGTGAATTATTCCAGGAACTACTGTAGAGATCAACTCCTCCCTGGCCCACTGCTCTAGGGATGCATTCCTCTATTCCGCACTAAGCATCAGCAGGAGGACTTTGTGTGGTGGCTGCTGCAGTAGCGCACATCCTTCAAGTGTTCAGGCCTGTGTCTTACCAGCATGCAGCTGCACCTGCTGGACTCCAGGAGTCTGCGCCCTTCTGTGTGCTTGTTCTGTGCCAGCCCGAAACGACACACATACTGGCATTTCAGGATGGCCGGATGTGTTAAAGGCCTCCAGGACCTTTGCGTGTCTTTGCCTTCATTGGCCTGTCTGCCTGTGTCTCAAGGATTCCTCAGCATCATGCTAGGCAAGCCACTTGGTAGTTCCTACAGCCCTCTCGACATGCCCGCAAAGCATCAGAATGAAGGGTGTGGTCTGTTTGCAGAACCTCTCCAACATTCGATTAATCTCGCTGGTGTTCTAGTAAGTTCATAGAACCCTCCCTGATTTCAGTCTTGCTACTCACCCAACATGCTGGAAACACTCCAAGCATTTGTCGCAGCTCTTTGTGTTCCACCAGCCGACCGTCTAAGGCACTTTGAAGAAACGAGGCAAAGGCCAGCAAACTGTAGGGGCATTGCGCAGCTCACGGCAACCCATTCCCCAGACAGCAAACCTCAGATTGCTCTCCTGGTTTACTCGTGCTGTGCAAAGTGCACAGAAGGCCCTCCGCAAAGACCGCGATGGTGGTCGACAATTCTAAGCATGTGCCAAGCACAGCTTATCTTCACGCAGCGCCTGCACAAGAGCGGTCTGTTCATCCTTCCACCAACCTACCCCAGGTCGCTTGCAGGGTGCAGGCTGAGTACAGGTCCTCATGAAGTTCCTGGGTCATCGTTGAGCATGTATCTGTTTGCGCTTTTGTGTATACTTCAACGCAATGAAAATCGCAACCAAACATTCTCCCAACTATCAGGGGTATAGAGGGTACCATACCTACGAAAATTTACCACCTGGTCTAGGCCCACCAACATGTATCAAAGAAACGACGTACCCTTCTCCAAACCCTCATCTATGTAAGGCTTAGACACTCCCAAATATCCCCCGTTTGTGGGCAGCCCATACAGAACATATAGTTACCCGAATCTTTTGAAACCTCCACATGAACGTTCTTGCCAGGTTTGGGGGGTTGGTGGCTACAGCGATCTGATGATTTGCGGTAGCTGTTGCAGTGGCGTTGGCTCCTCTTGGCTCTTTCCTTCACATGGTCACACCTGCGTCGTACCAGCATGCGGCGGTTGACGTGCTGGACGCCCGGAGTTTGCACCCTCCTGTGTGCTTGTTCTGTGCCAGCCCAAAACGACACACATGCTGGAATTTCAGGGTGGCCGGATGTGCTCAAGGTCTCCTGGACCTTTGCGTGTCTTTGCTTTCATTTGCCTCTTTGCCTATGTCCGAAAGATTCCTGAAGATCGTGCTAGGCAAGCCACCGACTGGCTAAGGAGATTTCACGTGCTGCATGATTGCAAAGCACAGATTCGTGTAGGTCTGGAAGCAGCAGTTTGAGTTCTGGCAAACTGCAGTATGTACCCTCAACGCATCAAAATCAAGGCTTTGAAGCTGCCAATCGTTGGGTTGGCAAAGCTGCTCATAGAGCGTGGGGTCCACGGTCACATGTTTGTTCTGGTCCATTGCCCATTGAAGAATTGAACCAGTCACCGCAAATCCAAGTAGTGACCCTCAGCAAGGGGAAAGGACGCACCCAGCGCAGTATTTGCAGAACTTCTCCATCTCTTACGGCTTTCGAATAAGTTGGTAGAACCCCGGTTCATATTTCCTGCGGGATCGTAGGAGGCCTTGCCGTTCTTTTTTAGTTTTGCTACCAACCCGCAGTTCTTGGA